GTCTTTGTTTCATTCTATATTTGTTATAGTAAAACGTTAATTAAGGTCTATTTTTATTAGCTTTTTTCAGTCCTTCATAATTTTTTAATTAAAAGAAATATATTTTAGTGAAAATAACACAGACGTTTTAGAAATATATCAAACAAACACATAGCAATTTTACTCTAATCTATCTGTCTACGAGTTGTAATTTATTTATTTCCAGTGTCTTTTTACTAGTTCCAATCCTTTGTATGTTTCAATGCAATTTGCAATGGTAATTTTTTTAAGAAGTACATGTTTTAAAAATGGTAAAATATTTTTAAGCGATGAATTGACAAAACAATTATTTTGAAAATATAAGACGTAATTTTACTTTTCCAAAATAGTCATATTTATCCTCAGAATGCTTATTCAGTTATAATAATATTGTTTTGTGATAGAATGTGAAAACACTTAAATGACTACAAAATGAAATAATACACTTTTTGTATGGACCTTGTATATGATATTTTTAGTGACCTTGGTGGCTAGTTAAAGCAGCTATCTTCAGTCGTATTTCTAAACTCTTTGATCGACATTAACCTTATCTATGGTGTTAACCTCATTTTACTCATTGATTGTTAACCATGACAATACGTTAAAATTATTATTGTAAGGATTATTATTCATACACCTTGTTATAGTTTAAAGTGGCAGAATAATATATTGTGGCCGATACATTATAAGTTTGCTATTATACTCATTTCATGTTTTATGTACTAAGTAAGTAGTCTTAGTATGTTTTCCTCACTGCTACTAAATAGTTTAGAAACATGTTCATTTGTGTGACTCTCAGAATTTCTTACTTTTTAACATTTTGTCACATTCTCTAACACATAGTCTTTGTTATTTATATGTAGTTACATGTAATAAAGCATTTTGCAGGAATATTACACACATTTTGGATACTGTATGTCATCAGGCATTGTCCAGTCGTCTTTCACTCTGGAATGTGGCAGTACCTGTAAGAAACTGTAAAAGCAGATAACGTAGTTGAACTGGCAGTGCCTTGGGTTTACTAGAGCTTAACACAATCGAAAGGGTAAGTGGCAATAATAATTGAAAAGAAATACCTTTGTTTTATGACAATGGTTTATTAATTGGTTTAATTATTTTGTAATTTTATGCATAGGTATTTACAATATCACAAATACCATTCAATCTCAGAAACTTTGTTTTAAAAAATTTCAAAAAGTATCAGCAAAATTGAATACTTTTACCACTTGATCCATACATTGCTACAATTTATGGGGATGTTTTTATATTTACAGTTTTCACATATGCAAGTATGTTGAATTACAATCATGTTCTTTATGATTGTTTGGGGCACTTACTGCATGTCATGCTGTGTTTTTTTATAGGGCATGAAAAGGAAATCAATATATTTCTTATTGAAGGTATATGAATGCGGCTTAAGCTTAAGAATACAAGTTTTTAAGTTAATTTGAAGTGGTACTTTTTAGTAAAAAAAAGTGACAAACAGTCATGCTCAGTGTGTAAGTCTGTTACATGCATGTGGATATGATGTATGCTGAAACAAGGGTACCCATAGTTTGTTGCTTTAGTAATATATATATTGCTCTTTTACAATTTGCGTTTTTTTCAGTGTTGAATTATACGATTTATAAATGAAACGACTTTGATAATATCAAAAGAATACTTAAATGTCTTTATGATTATTATGAAGAAAGTTATTTACTGTGTAAGTGAAATAAGAAACTTTACTGCAGAAGACAAGCTTAACTTGCAAAATGACATTTCCGAATCTGATTAGAAATTATAGATTCGTATATCAAGGTTCACTTTTTACTTTGACGAATACCTACCTATGTTAAACGTTACTTTCTTACATGTTTGTTTTTTAACTTTTATAAGAGAGTAGTTTGGGTTGCCTACCGACACATTCAATTTCTGAGAGTTAATTTTTGTTATTTATGTGAATTTGACCATCAAAGGTGACTTTTCATTCGTACGACAGGTCCGGATTAAAATTATTTGTGAGATGTCTACTGACTACAATTAATATTTCTGGTGAAGGTTGAAATTAAGTTAAAATTTTTAATTGTAATGTTTAGGTAAAAGTCTTGAATGAATTCCAAAGATTGATAATAATAGCGCATGTTTATTTTCCCAAATTTATCTATTAAAGATTTGGATATTTTTTGAATATGCGTTGATAAATTTTCAGCTAATTTTACTCAATTACACAATAAAATTAAAATGCATGCACTGAATTTAAAATTCATCGTTTAATTGCTCAGTAGTGTTAATTGGCTCAACATAAACTAATTGTTTTAAGTGGACCCATAAAATGTCTGAAGGGTTAAGTTATAAATATTTTTTATTGAAATGTGTTTGCTTTTTTTCTACTTTAGAATGATCAATGAATTGGTAAATAAAATATTAA